CCATCGGAGCCTGGTGCGTGATATATTGGTGCTGAGCGGTTCACTCGCCATTCCTGCACCAAATACGCGACATCGAACACGCTCATTGCTCACGCGGTGTTCCCACCAGACATGAGCTAAGCTGCGAAGGCAGCGATGATCGAATGTGACGAGTCTCTTCATGTCTGTCGACCTGATGGGCCAGGTTTCACAACCATATAGGAGAGTTGAACGGACGGCTGCGTTGTAAACTCTGCCCTTCAGGGCGAGAGTAATGTCGCGTCTGTGCCACAGGTGGCGGAGATTGGCAAAAGCACCTGGAGCTTTTGCTATACGGTTCGTAACCTCATCTTCAATCCCACGGGTGCTAATATAGCTGCCCAGGTACTTGAATTCCTGAACGACTTCTATCAGTTCACCACCAAGCGTTAGCGCAGGGTTGGGTCCCTGCCAATCTTGGAGAAGTACTTTGCATTTCGATGGAGCAAAGCATAGCCCAAAACGATTGACAGCAGTGCTAATCGGTCCAGTGCTTTTTGGCATGTTTGGGAGCAGTCACAGATTAGGGCAATATCGTCCGCATACTCCAAGTCAATAAGTCTATCACCAGGAAGTAGCTTCTAGGTCGTGTCCAGCGAATGCTGTTTCCATGACTTCATCAATAGCGAAGTTGAAGAGGAAAGGTGACAGCGGGCATCCAGCGGTAGTGGCGTTGACATATGAACTCCGAGTTTGACAAATCTTTATAGTCCACAAAAGCTATTATTTTGTGCTTTTTCTAGCTTTGTATCACGGAGCTCAAACTGAACACTAATAATTCGACCGACTGTGACTAGTGATATATCCAAGCTTAAAGGTTCATTATCCACTTTGAAGGAGACGCAGAAACATTGACTACATGTTTCGCTAATGTGGACAGTGTCAGCTATTATACTCTTATCTGTTGTTACAAGTGAGATCATACCTTAATTCCGCTTGGTACTTCTACGCCTCAAAAGATTGATTAATTCATGGTTTCTGAACTCACTGCAGAGAGCTCGTTTTCCGTCGGTGGTCCGTTTGGTTTGACATGCCAAGTGTATGGTTGTGATCACTTTGGTGGTGATCCAAGACGGAAAAGTTGTTTATCTTACGGTATGTTGTTGGCAGCTTTTAATGATTTATGATTGTTCTTGGCGTGTACTCTTTGCCGCCGTGCGGAGAATATCGTGTCTTAATGAAGGTCAGCATATCAAAGCGTCCCCATTATCATGAACACATGTTAGCCTAGGATCAGAGATACACCTCAGCTGTTCCGCAATAAAAAAGACAAGAGATTAAACAATACAAGTAAGTTATTAAAAAAGCTAACATGATGATGAATATCACATGCATAGAATTTGAGATCGTTGTTGGAGGGAAGAGCTAAAGAGGAGGGGGGCAAAGAGACTCACAACGCAAAGTTCCTTGAAATCGGCTGTTCGCCATATCGGCTAGTATATCCAACCAAACGTGTTCATCTTCCCTCGAACCCCAGCCCAGCGGTCTGGAATCACCAACTGACGCCAACTTCGAAATAAGAGTTTTCATTCCTCTTAACCGAGTCATCGATTGGCCTCCCCTCCTCTTCTTTCATCCAGACTTTTGGCGCGCAAACAACGCGCGATAAAGGAGTCGGTGGGCTAACGTGCGTAACACGTGGCCCTGCCGTGGGAGCCTGGTGAGGTAAAGTAACGGTACTGAGCGGCTCACTCGCATTTCCTACACTAAATAGAAGGCACGGAACACGCACATTGCTCACGCGGTGTTCGCACCAGACTTGAGCTATGCTGCGAATGCAGTAATGGTCGAACGTGACAAGCCTATTTAAGTGTGTCGACTTGATGCGCCAGGTTTCACAACTGCATAGGAGGGTTGAACGGACGGGTGCATTGTAAACTCTGCCCTTCAGAGAGAGAGAGAGCGATGTCACGTCGTCGTCGTAGGCAGTGGAGATTGGCAAAAACATCTCGAGCTTTTGCTATGCGGTTTCTGATCTCATCTTCAATTCCACTGGCGCTGATATAGGCGCCTCCATACTTCAATTTCTGCTGGTGTCGGATGTCACCAGCGTGTTCGCAACGATGATGTGTGTAGGCGAGTACTAGGTAGTGATGATCATTCTAGCTCCCTAGAACAACAGGTAGCACTGAATAAGTTGCGTTGGCTCGGGCATGTGCTACGTATGCCTGGTCACCGCTTACTTAGGAGGACCTTTTTCAGTCTACCAGGTATAGGGTGACGCAAGACTCGAGGTGGACAGAAGTTGGGTTGGCAGCGGGAAATGAAGTCACTGACGACCAAACTGGGTGCCGTTGGTCCGTCTCGCCTTCATGGCTGGAGTCCACGTGACTCGCTTTGTGCTTGGCTCGAGACTTTACAGGACATGGCTCGCAGTAGACACCAGTGATGCGTCTGCTGCCGTCTCCTAATCGGATTGTCTGTTTAAAGTGTGTTTGGTGCTGAATTATCTGCTGGGTAATGGTGGATTATGACTCAGGACAGTGAAAACCGCACAGAAGCTGTCTCGCTGATGCCGGTTTATCTTTTCACGATAGGTAACTGTTTGTGACGGTATGTTGTTTGCAAAAGGGCTAGGCGCTTTGACTCTAAATTTTGCTTAGGGCATTAAGGTTTTCAGGTAAGTCCCCCTTCTCTCCTTCTTCTTGTCCTTTATTTCATTGTTCGTTATCCTTGTGTGGCAGCGGTGCATCAGTTCTATTGGCTGATGTACTGCTGTTGATGATGATGATGTTGCCTTATCGTTGCACGATAGCCAGCTGTTTGTGACGGTATGTTGTACAAGGGCTAGGCACTTTGACTCTGAATTTTGCTTAGGGCATTAAGCTTTTCCGATAAGCCTTCTTTCCCTCCTATTATTCTTTATTTCATAGGTCGTCGTGGTTGTATGACAGCGAGTCATCAGTTCAAGTGACTGATGTACTGCTGTTGATGATGATGATACTTCAATTTCTCGACGACTTCTAGCGGATCCCTTACGAAGGTTAGCACATGCATGGGTCTCTGCCTATCTTGGAGGGCTTTATATTTCGACCGTGAAAGCATAGCCCGAAACGACTGACATCCGTAGGTACTTTTTCCACTGCCACTTGGCACCTTTGAAAGCTTTCACAGATAAGGGCAACGTCGTTGGCGTACTCCAGGTCAGGAAGTCGGTTACGTGGGCGCAGTTTCATGCTTCAATCAACCACATTGTCAACCCACGGAAGGTGAGAAGACGAAGAACACTAGTGCAAGATGTATCTCCGGGTGGGAAAGTCCTGAGAGATTGAACATAGTACAGTGGAAAGGAAAGAGCGTCACAGTCCAGGATATGATAAGTGACGAGCTGAACTGGAGGGAGTGTAGTTGTAGTTAATGAACATAAGTATCAAGAAAGGGAATGAATTCGTTTGGAGGCAGCCCTTCTAACAGTAACGTTTGACGAATATGCATCCCGTGATCCTCACTGGTGTTCAGTGAACGTTTACTTAGCCCGGATGCCAGCATAATTTGATACGCATTCAGAACATCTGGCTTCGCCACCTGGCAAGTAGCTGTGAGCTCACAGCACCGTTGCAGACCTCGGTCGCAAACTACTCGGCAGCTTGGCGTGGCCAGAGCCATGGTCGTATTACAAATCGAGCGACAGTTTTGAACGCAGCCTTCCCAGCGGTAACTGATCGCAATTTGATCGATTTGCTTCCATAGCTGGTCCGAAGCTGGTGGGCACCATGTCACCCTTCTGCGGGCGCTGTGTCGGAAGTTAGTGCTCGCAAGAAGGAGACGAACATCATCACGCAGGTGTGGCAAGCGCTCATCGTTATTATCACGTGAACCTACACCATGTTGGCCACCCAGATGAAGCTCCTTAGTGGATATTTTCCGGCTTGGGCGTTCAAATCACCATCAATTACCACATTATCCGTACTTTTCTGTAACGAGGGAGCGCGTTCTATTGACCATAGAAGCCATCATTCACCGAGTTATCGCTACAATTTGTGGGCGCGTAGGCCAGAATGGCAAACAAGCACTGTTTGTCCTTATACGACTTCGATGAACCGGCCAATCTGACAGCGCACATCCGACTGTTCATTGGGATCCAGCATATCAGAACACAGATTAATTTTGCTGTAGAGAACACCAACTACTGCTTCTGGTTCGCCAGGAGAGAAGCCGTCCCATTGAACAAACTTCAGCAATTTGGCAAACAAGCTCCAGTCAGTAGTTTTATAATACCTCATAGCCGAATGTGCCTTCTGAATCGAAAGTATGTCCTAGCTCCGGTATGATTCACTGTCTCCCTGAAGGGTAGAACCTACAGCGCTGCCATCCGTTTGATCCTTCTTTACCGTTGCAATACATGGTCCAATAGATCGACAGGCCTAAGGTAGCTGTTTACTTTAGGCCACATGCCTTCACAGTTTAGTTCACGATATATGGTGGGATCACCGCGTGAGCAGTAAGCATTTACGCCGCCTTGTTTTTGGCACAAGAAGATAGATTCAACTACCCAGCATCGTTTGCGCATCCGGAGTGTGAATCAAAGTAGAGGAGCGGTGGCGAGCCGATGATTTGCTTGAGAAAAATGAAGACTCGCTTTGAACTTGACCTCGGGGATTCATGACTGCCGGTTTGGAGTCTGAGAAGTAGTGAACACGCCTGTTTGTAGGCACCCATTAATGTGACAAAAAGCTGACTCCGTTGGCTTTTGTTGGCTCTTTGTCCTTCCCCCGGTTTAGCCTCATTCTCCAACAATAAAGTGCGAAACATACTATTTTCTGCTTTGTTTTTTGGGTTCTTTTATCTTTATATGCCGATATCTAACCGTCCTTTAGTGTGACAATGTCCGAGCTGTTTCTTGCCTCTATCGTCTAGAATTCATGCATGATTTTTTTAAAAATCCTTTTTGTCATGCCTTGATTTGTCATTTTGGCATTGCCAACATCGTCACTGTTTCACGATGATCCGTTCATCCTAAAGCTTCTTCCCGATTCTGTTCAGCTCCCTTCCCCCAAATTCCAATCGTTTCACCCCGGCCGCTAGCCAATGAACTTCTCAGATCCAATTCATTCAGCTATCGGTCTCACTCATGCTTCTCCAAACGCACAGTTTATTGGTTCTGCGTCTCAGCATGAACTGATCGTCCGGTTGTCTTCAAATGTTCAGGTTATTCGTCTTTACGATTGCCTGGATATCATTCATTCTTTCTCATGGTCTCCTGACTCTTTATATATTATGTGTCTCTTGAAGAAACGTTGCATTGTACAGGTGAGTTTAAACAGTTTATAATTGACCTCTTCGATTAGGTGTTTTCGATCGAAAATCCCGAGTGGACATGCAAAGTTGATGAAGGCTCTGCCGGTTTACTATCTGCTGCTTGGGCTCCCGATAGCCAACATTTTCTGACTACCACAGAATTCTATATTCGAATAAATGTCTGGTCTCTCTCTGAAGTATCAGTATGTTATCTGAAGCATGCAAAGGTTGGTTTGTGTTTACGTTTATGGTCCGTTCCTACTCTAACACTCTGATGACCTGGGCATTCTTGTTCATGTTTACGACTTGACGTCTATCCTCTTAGTTGCTGTCGCACTGTGTCAGTGCAGTCATCATAAGCGGCAGTACATCAGCCATTTGAACTGATACCTTGCTGCCGTACAAGCATGGTGATTTACGGAACAAGGGATAATAAGAGGGAGAGGAGGGGGGCCTAGCGTAAAACTTAATGCCGTTAAATGACATTCTGAGTCAAGATGTGTACACCTAAACAAATACATGCTGTCTATCCGGGAAAACATCGACATAAAGGAAAACCATTATTTTAGCAATTAATCGATTAGCTTCGATCGTGCATTGATTTCGAAGATTCCGGAACCTTCCATGCCTTCACGTGATCGCCAGCATACGGAGTTTTGGCGGGGAGGCTACTAATTTTACCAGTTGTCCTTCGTTTTCTAGAAGCCGTAGGTCATTGCACCCCCTATATATTTCCGTAGGTCTTGCGTAGTTTGTACAGCGTTTTGGTGGCATTTTCCGCTACGTTGGCAGCGTTTATGTTAACACTTTTTTCGTGGTCAAGCTCGTTGGACTTTTGATTTTTCTTCGGTTGGGCTAGCGTTTTTGCGAAGAAATTTTGGGGTGTTTAATTCGGAATAGCGAGAAAATCTGAAAATATCACACTGTCACAAACAACTGTCTATCGTGCAAAGATAAAGCGGCATCGGCCAGACAGCCAGCTTTCGGTTCTCACTGCCGCGCGTCATTATTAGCCATTATTTTACAGAAAACTAGGCACTAAACACACTTTAAATATCAGAAGTCTGTGTAAGCGAACATATGTTTTCGGCAATTCTTCATCAGGCTTGTACAATTACATGAAATGCAAACATTTTTTATACAGACCCAAAGGGTCGTCAGTTAACCAAATTGATCTTAGTGCGCTGTGACACATCTTCGGTTACGTTACAGTTGTAGTCGTACGTGCGTACAGGTCAACTGCAGTCCGTCCTGGCCAAGGAAGGCTCAACGCGTGAGTGAACCGTTTCTGTGTACACAGTGCTGGTTCGTACAACCGAATGGCAATGGCTTCTGCGGCGTCTAATATCCGCTTACGGAAATACCTCGATCGATTTTCTGGGGCCTGATAGATTACTTTGAACGAGTCAGCCGACTTGGTGGCGTGACCCGTATCCGCAAGATGCGTGGCGATGGCAGAGTTGGTGACCTTTCGGCTTCCATTTCCGAGCCAGGCCGGGTGGTGTTCCTTCACCCTTTCGGATAAGCGTCTTGTCGTACGACCAACGTATCCTGTCCCACAGGAACAGGTAAATGAGTATACACACATTGATTTGGTGTGGACAGGCAGCTTATCCTTGAGGTTTAGTCTCACCATTGGACTGCTGGTAAATCGGATTTGCAACCTCGCCGCTGGGAAGGTATTCCTTAGTGTGGACGTGAGACGGCGGGATAGATTCTCGGATACTATTTCCCCTTTGTAAGGCAGTTGTAGGAAAATAGGTTTCCGTTCCGCCGTCAGGACCAAAGGTGCTTCCCTGTTTCGCCCCATATTCGCATTAATAAAATTCTCTGGGTAGCCATTCGCTTTTAGTGTCGCTCGTATTAGTTGCAACTCTTCCAAAAGAGTATCCTTCGAGCAGATTCTTTCGGCCCGGTTCACGAGACTGAGGACCAAGTTTCTCTTAATCCGAAGCGGCACAAAGCTATGAAAGTTTGTGTACTGTCCATTCCAAGTGCACTTTCGGTAAACGCTACGTTTTATTGCACCATCTTCAAGTCTTTGTAGAGCTACATCGAGAAAATGGAAAGCACCGTTTTCTTCTACCTCGTAGGTGAATTGTATAGCCTTGTGAGCTTGGTTAAATACGCTAGTGAGCTTCTCGATGTTACCGGAGTTGTCAAGTAGGACGAAGATGTCATCTACGTAACGGTGATATAACGTGAGGCTACACTTTAAATAGCAGACGCTCCTTTGGCGTCAACTGTGACATCTCGAGCCAAGCCCAAGGTGAGTCACGTGGACTCCAGCCTAGAAGGTGATCTGAACTGCCAGCACCGAGTTTGGTCGTCAATAACTTCATTTCGCGCTATTAACTTAACTTTTGCCCACCTCGAGCTTTGCGCCACCCTACCTCCAACAAAAAGTAAAGCCCTCGTCTCTAAGCGGTTACCTAGCATACCTAATACGTGCCGAAGCCAGCACAACTTATTCAGTACTGTCAGTGAATGGTTGTGGTTGTAAGTCGCTCTCTCACACTCTGGATGTTGATCAACACTGGTCAAGTCTACAACAAGACTTGCTGTCGGCCGCTTTGTCTAGCTGTGGCCTCGCTCGCTCCACTCTCAAAAGCTGGATCTCGGGAAGATCCTCGGAATTGCTGGATCGCCGACGGGCGGTGCCTGCTGGCGCAGAGTACAACGAACACCGCCGGTCTATTGCAACAGCTGAAAGCAAACCTTCGCTCTGATCGTGAATCTTGGTGGTCAAAACAAGCTGATGAGATGGAAGCCGCTGCATCATCTGGCAACTTCCGCCGTTTATTTTACATCATCAGGGCCACTGGTTGCAATTTCCACGCTATCAGCCAGACGATTTGCGAATCAGACGGCACGAAGATCACCAACCTTCACAGAGGTTTGGGTCGCTGGGCAGAGCATTTCGCTCCTCAATTGAACCACCTAACACAGCCCCCTGTGACACATCTAGCCCCAATGTATGATGCTTGGCCTGTCTCCACAACCCCCCTAAATGAAGCACAGATTCGAAATGCAATCCAATCTTTGAAACGCCACAAGGCTCCGGGTCCCGACAACCTACCACTGGCTCTATTCAAAGATGGCGGTAGTGTACTTGTCAGCGAAATCCTATCGCTGTCCACGAAAGTTTGGACTGATGAGAAGGTTCCGAACTCATGGGGAGAATCGGTCATTGTTCCGATTCACAAGAAGGGCTCCAGCGTCGATTACTGTAACTACCGTGGAATCTCGTTAATCTCTGTCGCATCCAAAATCTTCGTGTCGGTTCTACTTAGCAGGCTTTCAACGACCAAAGAGGAGTTTTCCCGAGAAGAACAAGCCGGATTTCGTCCAGACCGCGGTTGCATCGACCAAATCTTCACGCTTCGCCAACCTCGAACTTCGTCACATCCACCGGCGGGCAACAATCGTAGTGTTTTTGGACATCCGAGCTGCATTTGATTCAGTAGATAGATCTGCGTTGTGGAACTGTTTACTGAAGAGAGGTGTGCCCGGCAAGTTTGTAACTATCCTGAAAGAACTTTACAGCCACATGTCGGGCAAAGTCAGGGCTTATGGCACGCACTATTCTTCATTTGCTGTGACCAGCGGTGTTCGCCGAGGTTGCCCTATTTCACCTTTCCTCTTCAATTTCGCCATCGAAGATGTTCTCCATAGAGCACTGGAAGGTGTTCAGGGCTGCGGTGTTGAGCACCTTCCTGGAGACAGATTCACGGACTTGGACTACGCTGATGATATCGCCTTGCTGGGGGATGACTCACAATCCGTCCAGAGCGCTTTAGACCGGTTGGCGATGGAGTCGTCTAAGTACGGCTTATGCTTCACTCCGGGAAGATGTAAAACGCTGCTCCAGGACTGGCAGGTGCCTGAACCCGCGCTCACCATTGCTGGACATGTTCTGGAGCAAGTCCCTTGCTTTACTTACCTAGGGAGTTGCATCACGACTGGTGGCGGTGTTGGAGATGAAGTCTCACAGCGGATTGCAAAGGCCTGCCTTACATTCATCCGACTGAGACACCTATGGCGTCGTCGTGATGTCAGTCTCAAGCTCAAGGGCAGAGTGTACAATGCTTCCGTCCGTGCAGTACTCTTGTGTGGCTGTGAGACGGCCTATTCGCTCGGACGAGATGAAGCGGCTGTCAGTCTTCGACAATCGCTGTCTACGAAGGATTACTCGGGTGTGGTGGCAACACCACGTAAGCAACGCAGAGGTGTGAGACCGCGTGTTTAGGGCGAATAGTGCTAGTCTTCGGAAGGTTATTCTCCGACATCGCATGTGTTGGCTCGGGCATATTCTGCGCATGCCAGCCCATCGCCTTCCACGTCGAGCGCTATTTGCACTCCCAGGGAGCGATTGGAAAAATGCCGCGGTGGACAGCCAATGACGTGGAGAAGGAGCATGAAGAAGGCACCCTCAAGTTCGGCGGCAGTCGGACCAGTCCGTCTCCCAGGTTGGTGACCACGAGATGCTGAATCACAGTGGTTGAAAACATTAGACGTCATGGCCCGTAACAGCCATCAGTGGCGTCAATGTTGTTCTGCCATTTTACCATCCCTTTGATGCACATAAAAACTCAGAAAACAAAACAAAAAATGGCGTGTGTAAAACCAAAAAAATCGTTTCCCATGTTTTTTAATCGCCATCCGTGTTCCCATCTTCTTCACATTTTTCTTCTGCCATGGTTCTGATGGCACACTGTCTGTTAACAGACTGTGATTATATATATATATATATATATATATATATATATATATATATATATATATATATATGGCGGGAGAGCCTATGGTGCGCTGAGGCTGGTGGTGGCTAGATCCTGACAGATGGTCTACCCATTGCTGCTACTGTTGTGCCATTTGCTCATGTCCTGGGCGCCCCCTCGTGGCGACCGCTGGGTGGGATTTGGGTTTTGCCCTTCTCCCTGATAAAATCCAGGACACCAATCCGCATGCGTCGGCTAACTGACCATGTGCTAGACCCGCTGCCTTTCGGGTGTCTAATTAATCGAAGGCTTTGGCTGAGGACCCAAGTCGTTCTCCTGTCAGGATTGGGCGCCCTGGCAGTATCCTAGTCCATCCTCTCCGGAGGTTAGGAATTGGTCGATGGCCCACTTCCCGTAAAACCTAGCCATGGGAGACAACAAGTTTACGGGTTATAATCTCACAGCTCGATTGGCGTAGAGCACGAGGGTCACGCATTGTCTCTGAC